GGGGCCCCCTTTTTCCCCCCCCCTTTTCCCGGGGTTCCCCCCCCCCCCCCCCCCCCCCCCAGGGTTTTTCCTTTTTTTGTTTTTGGGGGGTAAGCGTTTGGGCTCCCCCCCCCGGGGGAGAACACCCAGCCCCCATTTCCCCCCCCCCCCCCCCCCACCGTGCTGCCTTACTTATGAAACATCGAGTCCTCCGGCGCCAGCCAGGTTGCCGCGGGTGACCGGATCTTACTCTTGTTTCCGGCTGGCTAATACTCCGCCGCGTGTGGCTAGATCACGCTGTGTCCGTTCACGCATCGGCGGGCACCCGGTGGATCCCGCGTCTGCAGCTGTGCGTAGCCTGCAGTGACGCGGGAGTGTGGGTGTCTCTGACCTGCCAAGTCCTTAGCTGTGTGTTCCCAGAGGTGGGAGTGCTGGATGGTGTGGCTTTCTGAGGCGCCTCTGTACTGTTCTCCACCGTGGCCGCCAACAGCGCCTTTCTGGGCGCCCTCGCTAGCATTTGCCATTTCTTGTCTTTTTCTGCTTGCAGGCAGCTGAAGGCTCCTTGTGCTTTTCATTTGCCTTCTCCCCATTGGTGGCTGTGTTATTGCAACCTCTGCTCATTGTAGATCACCCGTCTCAGGGATTTGCTGCAGCGACAGAACTCGGGGCCTGGGCGCGTCCGGCCTGGGGGGGCTGTGGGCTGTCTAAGGCCCGTGAAAGCCCCCTGGTCTGGTCCTGCCAAGGCAGCCGAAGGCGGGACTCACCAAAGCCCATCAGTGTGTAGCAGGCTCATTTTTCAGTGGCTGATTCTGCATGGCCCCGGCAAGTGATGCTCTCCTGCCCCTGGACTCAGACATAGGGGAAGCCACAGACAGGCGACTCGGGTGATGCACTTGGCGGGGGAGAGCCACAGAGCGTGCTGATTTACCAAGACTGCGTAAGGGGAGGGCTGAGACGAGGGATCCTGGGAGCTGAGGGGTGACAGGCTCCGAGAGGCATGGAGCCCAGCTTCGGGCGATGGATGTGGGCCCCTGGGCCGTGCTGTGTGTATTTGGTTGAATTAGATGCTTGGGGAGGCCCGGGTCGTGGGTAGGAAGTTCCGGTTGCCCCATGGTGTGGCTGCCTGAGCCACCAGTGCGCTCCTCCATCTCTCCCGAGAGCCCACCTGCCCAGCGTGCACGTTGGAAGTAGGCAGGCGTTGGGGCTAGCGGTGGAGCGGCTGCATAACCTGCCACTGTGCCTCGTCAGAGTGCTGGGGTTCGGCGCCTGGCTCTGGCTGCTGACTCCAGCTTCCTGCTATTGGAGGGCAGCGGTGACGGCTCCGGTCATTGGTTCCTACAACGCAGGTCGGGGAGCCTGGGTGGGGTCCCCAGCTCCCGGCTCTAGCACTTTGTGGGCATCTGGGGACTGCACCAGCAGACGGGCGCTCCATCTGTCTGTCTGTCTGTGTGTCTCTTGAAGCAGTGAAAAAGATACTGCAAGTGTGGCCCTGGAGGACGTGGGAAGGGATGAGGGTGGGACCTGGCTTTTTGATGAGTGTGGCTGGGGCGGTGGAGGACGTCACAGCGTGGCCAAGGGGACTTCGGGGGATTTTGTCTGTGACTCAGAGCTGTGGTGTGGGGGCAGCAGAGCGGAAGCAGGTGGTGGGTGGACGTGGCCACAAAGCCTCTCTAGGCTCTGCCCGTGTTCTCTGGGGTGCTCCCTGCTGGGCTGTCGGCTCCTTCCCTGCTCAGCACTGGCGTCTCCGGGGACCTCTTGGGTCCTGTGTGTGTGCGATAGGGCGGGTC